TGGCAGTGGCACACGGCACAGCATGAGAACCCACCCTCTGCTCATCTAATTCTTCTCTGACATTGCGAGTCTTTAAATTTCCAAGTACTGGTTAATCTCATCCTGAACAGTCTGACTATCCAGAGCATGCAGGGACAGGAGTAGGTGGTTTTGCAAGGGAGGCAGAAGTTGGCTGATGATGAGAACAAAGTGAAGGAAAAGAGAAGTAGAGAGCAAAATCTCTATCCATTCAAAAGTTGCAACCAGCCTGTGCTTTACTTCAGTCCTAAGAATTCAAGAGCCAACATCTGTCCCTCGGCTCTCATGCTTGATTTAAACAAACAAAACCTCCACACCTCTGGCAACAAATACTTAGAGGAAAAAATGAAAAGTACAATTTAATTACATCTGGGAAATATCCAGCAAGCACAGTTTAAAATAGAAGGAAATTTGTCTGAGTGATTCCCAGTATTAATTCAATTTTTTTTAGACCATGTCCTTCACCTTCCAGTGGAAGGTCTTTCTATTATGCTGTGAAGGATCCTATATTGCTTTTGGAAACACAGTGTTCAAGGTCAGAGGAAGTTCACCTTTAAAAAAAAGAAAAAAGATGTCAGGACAAGGCCTGTTTCTTCCTGTTGTTATGCTTATTAACGTAGCACCCATCACCACCATATCTGGGGGGCACATATCCAACAGATACCTTAGCTTACAAGCAAATAGTCTCACTGAAAACGAAGCACACATGCTCTGAACAACATAAAAGTACTTAAAAGTTCCAACAGATAGCTTACAAGCAAATAGTCTCACTGAAAACGAAGCACACATGCTCTGAACAACATAAAAGTACTTAAAAGTATGTAAAAAGAAGGACAAAAAGCTAGGGTAACAGTGGAGAACCAGGGAGTGAAGAGCTGTTGAAAGAAAACCATTGAGATAGACTTAACATGAGCACATAAACCAGTAAACTCAGTATGACAGAAAATGAGTAAATTTGTCAATAGTCTCACTGAAAACGAAGCACACATGCTCTGAACAACATAAAAGTACTTAAAAGTATGTAAAAAGAAGGACAAAAAGCTAGGGTAACAGTGGAGAACCAGGGAGTGAAGAGCTGTTGAAAGAAAACCATTGAGATAGACTTAACATGAGCACATAAACCAGTAAACTCAGTATGACAGAAAATGAGTAAATTTGTCAATCTATCCAATTCTTACAGGCTCTCCATCAGCCTGACCACAACCAGGGAACTGTCACAAGGAGAGAGGTGGCTACAAGGCAAGCACAGGCAACACCAAATGTCAGGGGCGTTGAAGGAAAGTAAACATAGCTTCATGGTCAAATTCTGGTTGGTATCAGATGCCACAGCTGAGCTCCTTTCTCAGCAGCAGCAATGATTTGGCACCACCAGAGGATCTACCCCAGAAGGCTGAAATTAGGCCCTTGGCCAGTGCAGATTCACAGGCTAGATCACCCTTCTGTCTTCTTTCCCGGTGAATACAAATGCAGGAAATAAAAAGGAAAAACAGAAGTTAAAAAACATTCTCATTCCTTCATGGAAGAACCTATGTTGTTGAAGCTTTGGCCCTCAGGGTCTAGGGCAGGATTTCAGCCGTCCTCTACGACATTTTACCGAGACACGCATCACGCACCCAACTGCACCAGTTTGCCAGCAAGGAAAATAAATATGGTTCAGCCTTTGATTTAAGCTACATTAGGACAGAATATTTTGGCTCCAAGACTACAAAGCCAGACTTGCTTATGAGGTTATCCAGGGCTGTAGCGTGTGCAGTTCTGAGGGTTTGTTTGCGTAGAGTTCCTACTGCAGGTTGCCAGACCTTAATTTAAGTCCACTTCAAAACCAGAATTCCTTCGGTCAGGCAGATAGTTTGCCAGCAGTTCTTTCCATCCTGCCTTGGACTTTCCATGAGAAGAAAAACCTCACAGTAATCAAGGATTTCTTTGCAATCTTTCTCTGTCCAATCGAAGCTATACAAACACAAGCTTACAAGAAAACTGTGTGCATGATAAAAGCAAATCAGACTCAGATAAGCATTTAGCTACACACATCCAGGCAGTATGAGGAAGTAGAGAAACTGAAAAACATTCCTTGAATATTTATATAGATCATTTCAATGCAGTTAGTGAGGTGTATTCTTTAAGCTATTAGCAAGAAAAACATGCAGTTTTGTGGCTCAGCCGTGAATATCCATCCCTCAGCATCATATCATCTAACTCTGGGGTTTTGGGGTTTTTTGAGATATACTTAACACATTAGTACCTTAAAAAGCAAGAATAGAAAGGAAAAAAAAAAAAAACGGATTCTGTCTGGAAGCTCACCTACTCCTTAGCAAGAATAGAAAGGAAAAAAACCCCAACCAGAACAGATTCTGTCCGGAAGCTCACCTACTCCTGAAAAAACAAGGATGCCGAAGATATTGTAAAGTCAGCAAAAAGTCCTATCGGTGTCAGTGTAGGACTGGCAAACAAAAGAAAGGTGTGCTTTCCTGCAGCAGCCTCACTTCTGCAGAAACAAAGAGTAAGCTGGAAAAAGGCTCAATACATAAAAACCAACACCCTAGGGAGGTGGCATGCTGCCCCTGCCTCCCCCAGCCTTCACCACAAGCACACAGCCATTTTATTTATATTTCCTAGCTTTATTTAGACTTCTAGTTTTATTTATATTAGTACATTAATGGTTCAAGACTGAAAGAGCGTGAGTTCTGTACACTGGCAAGTGAGAGCCAAGCCTGTGGTGCCCTGGTCATCACACTGCCCATGGCTCATGTCCACACGTTTCACCTACAGCCACAAACTCTCCGCATTTAAAGTATAACTTTGCATTAACAAGACTTGAAAATGTTGCAAAAGCTCTATCTAAATAATCTTCAGAGAGCTGTCCTTCCTCATTCATGATTATATCTGCCTGACACCTCCCTCCCCCCTCTTCATCCAAGTCCATCAGTTTTTTTATTTCTCTTATCTTTCTGTACTCATACTCTGTAAAGGACATTAACTAGTTGTTCTCATTAAGAATTTATTGAAAAAAATAAAAAGCATGGAAGAAAACCAAAACCCACAGGACACACACAGCCACAAACCACAATGAGAGTACTTCCTCACCTCCCCCTAACAAATTACAACCCTTTCTACTCCCCCCTTCAGCTATCTTCTTCTCATACAGATAGCATGAAATAAATAATTTGGAACTAACCCTGCTCCAAGCAGGGTGCTGGACTAGCGAGTTCCAGAGGTCCCTTCCAGCCAAAATCATTCTATGACTCTACTTATGAATAAGCATCTGATCAAATCCAAGGCTTTTTAAAGAGTTTGTTTCAAGAATAGCTGCCAGAGGAAAACACAGAACTGGTGAGTAAAACCAAAAAGACCACAACAAATATCAAGGCGGATATGCTAAGGTTTCTGAACACTTAATAACTTTCTAATAGTAGTACTGTTTGATAACACTTTTAAATTGGTGGATTTTAATTAAAGCTGGCATTAAGAGGTAAGCAAACAATCACCTCCACAGCAAAATGGAACTGCGGATGTGATCAATTAAAAAAGCTTTTATTTTCTACAATGGCACTTTCTTTTAAAGTAGATTTTCATGCATCTATAATGATTCGGATTTACACGAAGTAATGGCTCTTCTCAGCCACGACCAGCATTCATGTCCTCAGCTCCAGCCACAGACACACTCAGACACACCCTGTATTGCTCAAAGTTCATCTGTAACGAAGTTATTACAAAACGTTAGCATCACATACTGTTAGACAATTGAAGTTACTCATGTTGGATGGATGCCTTCAGGAGGTCAAACCCAGAGAAAGTCCCAAAAGGCTTGAGGGCTTGAAACAACATAGTTTTCCATGATGATGATGAAAGGAAGCCAAATTATAACACATTTAATTGCTCAGCCCTGGGTCTTCCAAAGTTGGTCATCTTTTCCACAGTGAGGACATCTCAGATTTAAGCAAGCCATCTGTCCACTGTCCACTTTTCCCACTATCTCATTTTGACTCACTGCATACCCACTTGGCCTCTTCTCCAACGACCCACACTGCAAGCTGGACACATAAGAGGCTTCCCCTTGCAACCACAGAAAGAACTTTGACAAACAAACATACTGAGAAGAATCACTTCAGCACTTGAAGAAACTGAAGTTTAAACTAGGTACTTGAACTCTACAGATCTTTCCTTTCTCTGTCACAAGTTATTGCAACATACAGTTTTAAAAATCCCTATCTAGGCCAAAAGGGGGACAGGAACGATCCCCATAAATAGCAACACATGTTCCTAACGGACAAGGCCTCCAGTAACACTGACAACTGTTATTAAAAGGTCTTTACCGCCACCATTGACAGTTACCTATAAAACAGATTAGACAACTGTCATGAATGACTGAGGTGAGGTTTATCCTGTTATGGCAGGAAGGACAGACAGACTCAGTGACCTACCACAAGCTTTTCTGGGATTTTGTCAGACATTTCTTTTTATGAAGACAAATAACTGGGACTTAATTCCAGATTACAGCCCTTGAAGGCAGCATGGAGCTGAGCTGGTACACCCTTTCAGCCCAGCTCCATAAAGAGACTGCAGCACACTGCACCCAGGGTAATAAATCCAGGCTCTTGATAGAGCCAATAGTTCATCACGCTGGCAGAGCTACCCTGCTTCCACTCCCAAAGGCTCCCATAGCAATCCTCCCCTTTAGAACACGTGCACCAGGCAATTCTCTTATCTGAAATAAATAAATCGCCAAAATAATTTTCGCTACTACTGAAGTTCTGGAATTATTTTAAGAGCGAACATAGTGCAAGAAAACACTCTTATAGGACCAGCATTCCCACATCATATATGATGCAGCTATGATCACAATAGTTTTATAGAAAATCTAGACATAAACATCAGCTTTAGCTGACCTACATTTTTCCTACATGAAAGAGTATTGTTGATCAACAATTCTGAATATGTAACAACAGTTACACTGAATGCATGATTTACATAAAACCACCTACCTGCAGCTGCAAAGCACAAAACTATCAAAGCAAACACTGAAGTCACACAACTTGAAGACATTTTTGCAAGTGTTGTATCTTCTCAAATCAACTCCCTTTGTAGCTCTTCATGTAGATTTACTTTCTTTGAAATTTGTGGTGTGCTTTGAAATCAAATCTTCCGGACTTTTAATTGCCTACAGAAAGAAGTAAAAATACATATTAATACAAATACAACTTACCGAAATGTTACCAGATATTAAAAACTATCTCTCTTGTAAGAAGAGGAACAGAATTCTTTCTTAAAGAACTACTAGAGGAGTGTATTTGATATTGCTGGATGCCCTAGGTACCAACAGCCTAGTACTCTTCCCCACGTATTTCAGTACTATTTGCAGCTGTTGCTCTTTCATATTAGACATTTTGCAAGTTATGATCTACTTGGAAGGGAAACCCCAGAGTCCTTTCTGTCAGCTCATACTGAAGTCCTGATGAAGCCTGCCAATGGTACTCACACCCTCAGACATGTTTATTTTAAATAATCAGACTTTCCCTGGGACATATAAACATTTGTTTATCTAGTTATCTGCTGCTACCTTTCTTACAGCAAGGAGAAATGTTTCACATGTGCTCTAGCTGGTCTATGGGTACCTCAAATTTAACTCATTTTTCAGATGACAAATTCTGAAAACTTTTCAATGCCACTTGACACTAAATATAAATATGAAGCTGTTCAGAATCTTTCAAGATTTTTCAAGACACAATATACCAGGCCAGTTAAATGACTTAAAAATGCTGTACAAATAAATTATGATACAGATGCTGTCTGCAAGCATTAAAAACATTGACAATTCTGACCTCAGAATACACATTGCAGATTTTTGAGGGAATGTATTTACCAGATACACAACATCCTCTTCTACCCTTTTTATTTTTTAGTCTATTCTCAGTCATCTAAATGTCCAGATTAAGACTACAGACCAAGAAGGTAAGGAACCAGAATGTTGATATTGTGTTCAGTTAAATAAAAAAATCTTACCTACTTTACTTCACTACCAGCCTTCAGGAGCAGAAGATGATAGATCATGCCTCAGCAATCTCTAACACACATTGTACAGCAATGCAAGCAATTACAAACCACCATCACAGGACTAAGTGATAGCAAAACGCTGAGTCAGGACCAAAAAATCCAAACCATGGCAACAGGAATACCATTTAAAAGGCTCTTGCTGACATTAAAATGAAATTAAGTACAAAGACTAAAGGCTTAGGTTCTGCTATACAGCATGTGCCATGCTGTGCACCATCAGAAGTCTGCACAAGATAAACCTGCACCTAGACCAGCACTGCTAGAGTTAGGAGGAGAACACCAAAACCCTGAAGCATTTCTCCATGGGTTATTTGGCAGGGACAGCAGTGCCCTGTGCATAGGGAGCTGCAGCTACCCACCCAGAAAGAGCTGTCAGTGCCCAAGGCCACAACTCCGACCTCCAACAGATCCTTCTCTGGGCACCCAGCTCCTGGAAGCTCTGACCAGTCTCAGCAGTGCCCCAGATCCCACCTACATTGGAGCAGAGTCCAGGAGTGGCACTGCAGGCTGTTGGGAGCACCCAGACACACACTTCTGCAGGACAGCAATGTATGGGGTGAGGAAGGAGCTGAGTATCTGTCACATCATGGGCTTCATGCAGTTCACTTTCAAGCACAGCATCCCATATAAGATGTGCACTTGCTTTTATTTCCTATTTGCCTTAGACACACAGTATTTCTGGTTGAAATTCTGTAACAGGCTCCCTCTGCTGTGCACCTCCTCATTGCCTCCCTTCCACTGGCTTAGAAACACTGTCTGGACTGAAGGAAGGAAACCCCAGAAGAAATGGCAATTCCAGCAATGCTACCTAGTAACGATTAATGTATGATTAGATATCCCAAACTGGAGATTCTTCTCCATCACAATTAAAATACTAGCTATTGATTTACAACCATTTAATCAACAAGGAACACAACAGAAACCAGAAAAAGAGCAACTACAGCACATACACTAAAATACTACATAAGAAAACACATGACATGACTTCGATCACTCTTCCATCAGCACAAACCTCTCGTTCTTCTGAGACATTTTTATAAGGCAGAGTTGTGCAGAAATAGGGAGCACAGGATAAAAACTGGAGAGAAAGTGATGCTGCTGAGAATCCCATTCCGTCCCGACTACCTAAGTATGTCAAAATATCAAGTTCTGATTTGACTTTGATTTGCAAAAGATGATTTTAAAAGGAGAGAGAATATATACACACTTCCACCTGCATGAGTGATCTGATTCCTACCACAACCCACTGACCAATAACACTTCCCAGGCATAACTCAGCACAGGCAGCATATGATGGAAAAGCCCTCAGCTTGTACTTGGATTCCACCAGCTCGTGAAGGGTGAATAATGAAGACTTACAAGAAAATTTAGAAGAGCTTTCTGAAGAGTGAGCTCACTTGCTTGCAGATGTGCATTCATAAGCTTAAAAAGGAGGGCAAATATCAAATAATGTGAAAAGGTGACAAACTGCCAGTTTCATGAATTCAGGATGAATGATACCCACACTGTCAGCTAAACAACTCAAGTTAAAAGGCAGATGAAACTGCTATTAATAATCCATTTAAGAATAAACCTACTAAGCAGACAATTTGAGTATTTTTGAAAATCTGATCAACTTTACCTGTGACAGTACTCAGCTACAAAGCTCCTATTAACTGACCATCTAACAGTACCAAAGAGAAACAAATAAAAAAACAGGTGAAAAAATTCAGCTGTGGTGCATGACCTACCAGATTTTGCTTCAGTATGAAACCTGCTGTCACTAAAAGAGTATGTGAAACCTACAACTAGGAAAAGCTGAGGCAGTCCACAAAAAAACAGGCAGACATTTCCTTTCAAATAAGAGAAGAAATCTGTGCAAAGGGATAAGGAACCTAAACTATTTATCCAAGAAGTAAACACAACTGCTAGTCAATTTGAGATTCAAAACAAGTTTCTGAGAGAATCATCTTTTCCTTTGGGGTATATCTGTGTGGCTATTTTTGTAACTGAGGTCACGAAAGAGCACGTTAAAAGTATAACTAAAAAATCCCAGTGAGGAAGAGGAAGAGAAAAGGACACAAGAGCTTTGGTTTTACTAAATATAGTGCTGACATGCCAAAGCTTTATACTACTACAAGCTGCAAGGAAGGCTGGCAGAAGAGGGCATCTGCTGCCAGAGCCACTGAAGACTAAGATGCTCAGTGTGCTGAGGTCATTTTCACTGAAGTTTGCTGTTGTAAAGGCCACTAGTCCTGGTAAAGCAAAGGTCTAAAAAGCTCACAAAGAGGCTGTTTCATTGAGAAATATCAGTTTGCAGATGCAATCAGGAATGAGTGCTGCTGGGAAAATCAAGAAGAATCTTATTAGTACTAGATTTTATTAGGTTTGGAAGAAGACTGGGGGAATGGAACAGGGAAAACACATTTTGAAGTACATGAAGGCAAGGAAAGGAGAAAATGTGAGGTTTTAATTTGTTTTAAACTAGGAGCCTCTGATGTCCATGAGAATTTTGATGCATAAAGCTTAGCTAGAAACCAGTGAAAAGTATGATGGTTTTGGAGGACACCAAGACATGCTGACTAGAAGGACAGATCTCATTGCTATACTAAGCTAAAGGACAACAAATGCTCCTTACCTCAGTGGTATTTAAAGGAATCTGCATTTGTTAGTGCCAGCAGCAGCAAGCACAAACACAAATCACTTGAGTACACTGCTGTTATCTCTCTGCCTTTCACTAACTGATTTTCTTTGCAAAAATCTGCTAATCATCTTCCTCAGAACCCCAGTCTTCTGTGGATTGTTTTAAAGCTATCCTTTGACCTGAGAAGTCACCATTAATACTACATGACCAAAGAATTTGCAAGTTAGAAGCATGTTGCTTACTCTTAAAAATACACCTTTCCCTAAGGACTTCCCAGCCCTCACTGACTGGCACTCCCAGGCCTTAAGGCTCTGTGGTCTATGGATGACTTGTTGCTAAGAAATCCCATTCTGCATTCTTCTGCCACCAGCAGAAGTGTCTTCACCCCTAAGCCTGCCTGCTGCACTCCAAAAAGGGGATGTGACTCTGCTCTACAGTCCTTGAAGAACTGCAAATGAAAATGATCAAGTGTACACCCTAGGGTTAAGCTCCATCTTCAGGACATTAGACCATCTTTCTACTTACCCTCTTTCTGTACTTCAAGCCAAGTATCTATCACGTACTATTCTTCTTGAAATCAGCAATCTCCTCAGCTTCCATTTTTACCCACTTTTCTTCTCTTGGTGAATTTATTTTTGCTTCCTTTTTCAAAGCTTCCCTGCACAGTCCAACCTAGAAATACATATGCCTGCAGGTGGCCAGAGTCACAGATTTTGGGGTGTTTCTGTTTCCTATTATAGGCTTCTATAGCATAGGAATGTGCTACATTTATTGCTGAATTATTGTTTTCTTTTCCCCTTTTACTTCTGTTCCCTTAAGTCTTTCCCCGTCTGTTTCATTAATCATTACCTACCTTTCCCATACAAGTTCTTTCCTTGCCTTAACTCTATCCTCCTTGTTGTCTAACCTCTTCCTTTACTGCCTGAAGAATAACTTCCACTTCCTCTCCTCTTATCAGCATGGACTCTGGTAATTCCCTCATCTTTCCATGCATGCTGCCAGAGGTTGCACAGCTCTCTACAACATTGCTAACAAACATTCCTCTACCAAAGCAAGCCAAAAATCATTCCCCTCTAAGTCACATCACAAGTCCCAACAAAGTGAATGGGATACTTGAGTGAAGCAAGCAGAATCTGTCCCTTTGTGTTATTTTGCCATAGCAACGTGAACCCAAGTTTCTAGGCCATCCAAGGCAGCCTTCACAGCCAAAGCTTTTTCACTTTTTGTTTGCTTGTTTTATGCATGGCAACCATTTAACTTACTTAACCAGTTTTTCTCTCATTTGTTCACGCTGGTTCCCTATGTGAATGCAATGAATATACGCATTCCATGCCTAAGTAAAAAAGGCAATCCTGTGTAGTCAAGTACA